GAGAGAGGGAACACAAGCAGGGGGAGTGGGAGAGGGAGAAGCAGGCTTCCTGCTGAGCAGGGAGCCTGATGCAGGGCTCAATCCCAGGACTCTAGGATCATGACCTGAGCCGAAGGCAGACGCCCAATGACTGAGCCACCCAGGCGCCCCAAATTTATATAGTTTTAAGCCACCAAGTTTGTGGTACTTTTGTTACGACAGCTCTAAGAAACTAATGTAAATACTGAATCACAGTAAGAGGAATGGGAATTGTGAGTTGTCCTCTTAGTGAGGACTTGGTTTTTGGGATGCCTGGGTGGCTCAGTAGGTTAAGTGTCCGCCTTCGGCTAAGCCCATGATCCCAGGGTCCTGGGATTGAGTCCAACAGGAGGCTCCCTGCTCAGCGGGGAGTCTGCTTCTCCCTCTTTGCCTGCTGCTCCCCCTACTTTGTGCTGTCTGTCTCTCTGACAAATAAAATCTTAAAAAAAAGAAAATTAAAAAAAGAACTTATTTAATTTTTGACATGATGATGGGACCTTAGTTAACAGAAGTGTTCCAGATTTTCCCACATTTTTAATTTTTAAAAATTATTTACTTGGCTTGGGGGAAGACTGTAGTAAGACTGGACACTTTATTTATACTCCATATAAATGCTGGGAATAGCAAAGACTGGAGGTGTACTTAGGAACATAGTGTATCACCCCATTTGTTCAGTTTTTCTTTTATTTCTTTCTGTATTTTTGTATTTTTAATAAAAGCTTTGTATATTTTTAGACGTCTTTTAGTCATACAATTTTTGGTAGCTTTTAGCTTTATTTTGAAGTAACTAGATTTACAGAAAAGTTGCAAAGATAGTATAGAGAATTCTCATGTCTCCCTTAATGTTATCTTACATTACCATGGTACATTTGTCAAAACTAACAAACCAGCATTGGTACGTTATCATTAACTGAACTTCAGGCTTTATTCACATTTTACCAGTTTTTTCATTGATGTCTTTCTTCTGTTCCAGGAGCCAGTCAATGATCTTACATCATATTTAGTTGTTGTGTCTCCTTAGTCTCCTCTGCTC